AAATGCCGAATATCGGGAAGTGCCGTTATATGGGGGCTGTACGAAGGTGTGGACTTGCATGGACAATTTTCTGTCATAGGCTTCAAATACCAAATTTGAAACATTTCCGGTGAATAATATCGCTTAAAGCATCAAAATACCGAAAATAGGGAGGTACCATTATATGGGGGCTACACCAAAACGTAGACCTACATGGACCATTTTCAATACCAAAAGTCATGCAGACATAATATACATTTGAGTAAAATGTTATAAACCTGCTTCATTTCGTTCGGAAGCTAAGTGATCTCCACAGTCGCTAAATCGTCGTAGAATTTTACGCTGATCAAGGATATATATACTTTGTTGGGTCTAAAATGTATATTTCGAAGTATTACAAACGGAATGACAAACTTAATATACCCTCCATACTATGGTGGAGGTATAAAAAGGAACTTCTATATGTCTAGGCCGTCCAGAATTCCTGCAAACATAGGACGATCTTCTAAAATTCTGTGTACAGAAGATTTGCCATAGATCTTCCACGAATAACATTTTATCGTAGGTTCTCCTGTACTTAGAAATATTTCTATAGTTTTGAACAACCTACAATTCTGTATTAAAAAAAAACATATTTTTTTATTATTTATTATAAAATTATGCGGAACCACATCGACTCCCACAAAATACGCATTTATTTTTCGTTTCAGACACCTGTTGAGGATTATTTCATTTGCTGTTTTCTCACAAAAACAAAAAACCCCAAACCGATTACTCACTCTTTTCTCTCATAAATTATTTATTGTGGTGGGAGCGCGCCCGAGTGATCGCGCATAAAATGTCACATTTGTTTGTTTGGTGCAAGAAAATAACAACGACCTTCACAAAAAAAAAAAAATTTGCATTGGCGATTTTTTTTATTTGGTGTTTTTGTTTTTGCTGCCTAGCTGGCTGACTGGTTGTCCAATTCGAACCATAATTAATATGCCAATATGTAAACGCCCCTCTTTATGGGGAGCAAAACAAATCGGGTGCTGAGAAATTATGTTGTTTGTACTTAAGAATGAGCATAAGGCACGGACATGATCAAATCGAAAATGAGAGAGGGGTGACGTATCAAAGTAAATTTGTAGATTTGCACACACACACATACACTCATCCAAACGATAAAGAGATAACAAATGTCTCAACTCACTAAAAAAAACACCCAAAATAATAGGCGAAATAGTCGAGCAAGAAAAAGAAGAAGCATTAATAGCAACAACACTAAAGAGATCGTAAGTTTTTTTTTTTTTTTTTTTTTTTTGCGTCTCATTGCGTTAGCTGTCGGGAAACGAACTTCCCATAAAAATCATTGGTGTGAGCATTATATTTCTACAGTGCGGTACAAAATTTGTAAGTTAACTTCATATAACCTACCAAAGTATTGAACCTAGCTAGACCCACATTATCATATCGCTCATTTACCCAAAGGGTGTTACATATCAAAAAAAGATTCGAAAACAACTACTACCCGAATTACAATTTTTGCGAAGAGATCACCCGTTGTCAGTGCTAAATTTCTGTAAAAGGCCAAGCATGTTTTGAATTATTTAAGTGCTTCATAAACTCAAACTCCTCGTAAAAAAGCTATTACTTCTTGAATTCTACCTATGGCAAAAAATGTACAATTATGAAGAAGGATTCGTCATAGATAAAAAAATATCAATTCCAAAAAAAAAAAAAACAATTTTTGAGTTCATGCTATGTATGCGCTTCTAGACATCCATGATAATTTGTACTCTCTACAGGTCACAGTTATAACCCTATGTTCACTAAATTTGACATGGGGTCAGGATTTGGCTCGGATTTTAGAGATTATTGAAAAAATGTTTTTGTCATAGAAGTTATTTTTAAAATAACTTCTGGGGAGAATATCCCAGACAAAAAACAAGAGAACTGATGAGGATTGGTGGCTCTTTCCGAAACCTAGGTATTCCCTGCCTTACCTCCTGGTAAACATTACCATCGTTCTCCACTAATAAACAAACGTTGTTTTTATAAAAAACAACAACAATAAAGGGATAAAGCCTGACCATTTTGCAACAACAAAATACTACGGTATCCCGAACAAACAAGCCAACACGGTTCGATTATTGCAAAACATTTAGGGGATGATATAGTTAACAAGTTAAAATGAATCAGTCGGATTTTCCCAGAGATGTATACCCTCAGCCAATGTTCGATTATTTAAATATATTTTGACTTCTGTTATGATTATTCAAATTGTTATCCCTCTGTGGAGTAGGTTCGGAAGGAATTGGCCAATATTGTTCATTTCGTATCGGACCTAAATAAATATGATATAAATATTGTGACGTGCCAGGTTTGGCACGGATATGTGATAATTTATAGACAATGTTAAAATGTGCGTGAGGTACTATTTATAGACGACCGAAGTATTCCATTTTCATACTTCGTCTAATACAGATGAAAATATTGAAATGGGCAAAATTACAAGAAAATCAAACATTTATATCCAATTTTTTCCGAAGTCCGTATTCATATCACGTTTCTGGGGAAGAGAAATATTAAGATAGTGCAAGTTGTAAAAAATCGCTGATTTGTTTAACAAGTTATGTCAGATAAAAGTATGGAGAATTGTGACCCTTTGTGGGTGAGGTACCAGAAGGGGTTCGCAGATATATATAATTTTCACAATTGGTCTTGTACTGGCAAAAAATTTTGTTAATTTCGCGTTTTATAAGCTTAATGGATATTCAAAAAGTTTACCCTTTGTGGGGGAGGTACCAGAAGAAGTGGATCGATATTTTCCATTATTAAACCAGAACTTGGGTTAAAAAATGTTGTGCTGTGTGTAATTTGAAGATATGAAGAAGATTTTATGATCGTTTTTGTTATTCTAAACTTTTACCCTTTGTGGGAGAGGTAACAGAAGGTAGGATCCGATCTCTACCATCCTTATAACAAATCTTGTGTTTATGGAAATATTAAGATATAGTAAGTCTGAATGGAATCGGGTGTTACTTCCGCGTTTTATGAGCTGCATGAATATTCAAAATTTTGACCCTTTGGGGGGGGGGTGGGGGAGGCAGCCACCAGAGTGAGTGGACCAATATATTCCATCTTCATACCAGATCTAGATCGAGGCTAGATCGACTCCAAATGTTCTGAAACGGACTTGGTCCAAAGTGATCTAGGGTCTAAAACCATTATTTCAATGATGCACGTTTTGGCCGTATCAATACAATGTTAATGAACAGTCCGATTGCCTTCGTAATTCGTATATCCCAGAATTTCTAACAACCTTAGGTCTGATGAAAAAATAGGATAGATCAAACCACTGCTTCTGGTACCTCTCACACAACGATAATAAAGGTATCGTAAAGGTATAGACAATAAAGGTATCGTTTTAAAAACTTTAGTTCGCGTTGCCAGTTGAACATTTCCAGAAGTAAATATATAGGAGTGTCAGCTATAAATTGGCATCAATTTTGTTGACCCCCCAAAATGGACCCTTTTTTTAATTTTTGAGGGTTTTATAAAAATCCGGGTCCAAAAATCGATACATGATGTGCAACACTAATATCATCGGACCTACAAGAGATATCGATACACATCCACACATTTTGGAAAGGCCAGAGTGTAGACTACAATGTAGTATGCAGTTTTCGACCATTATAGGTCCATTTTCGACTTTTTATGGGTTTTTCAAAAAGTTCCGGTACAAAAATACCAATTTTCTTCTATTACTCTGGAACTAATTTAAACCAACCCATCATACGACCACTTCTTAATATAAGCATTCAAAAGATATCTATTTTGTACATTTCAGTTCTGTAGAACCGTATAAAATCCGGATTTTGAACCCGATCTTCCGGGTCGGATAACCGCCGTAATCAGGTTAAATTTCAGGTCAATCCGAGCATAGCGCTAAACTCAACTTAAGCCAAATTTCAAAAAAAAAACAAGTAAAAATACTGTAAGTTCGGTCGGATCGAACTTTGAATAACCTACACCATTTGGACATTTTCAAAAAAATAACATCCGCTAATAACTTTGTTACAATCTTAAAAATACCGAATATAGCCGTTATATTGGAGTCTGTGCGAAGAACCTGCATAGGCAACTTATTCATAAACCAGGACAATATTCAATTGTGAAACTTGAATAAAAAAAATTCGGTGAATAAGCTACTTTATTCAAAATTCCGAATATAGGTATGTACCGTTATATTGGGGCTATACGATAACGTCAACGTTCAAACACCAATTTTGAAACAATTCCGGTGAATAGCGTCGCTAACATCAAAAAAATACCGGATATCAGGAGGTACCACTATACGGGGGATATACGAAGACGTGGACTCGCACAGAAAATTTTCTGTCATAGGCTGTAGTACCCATTACGAACTTCAAATACAAACTTGGAAACATATTCGGTGAATAATGTCGCTTAAATCACCAAAATACAGAAAAAAGGGAGGAGCTATTATATGGAGGCTATACCAAAACGTGGACCTACATCACCCATCATCAATACCAAAAGCCCTGCAGACATAAAACACATTTGAGTAAAATTTTATCAAACTACTTCATTTCGTTCGGAAGCTAGAGTGTTCTATGATGTATATTTCGAGGTGTTACAAACGAAATGACAAACTTAATATACCCTCAATACTATGGTGGAGGGTATAAAAATTGAAGACTTTGAACTAAACTAAGTTAAGCCAAAATTTATAACCGAACAAATGTGTTGGATAACTATTTTCATTAGCTTTCAATTGACACCTATATTATCCATATCGGTTTAGACCCTAAACCCAACATAATCCTTTATACCATTATTTTTGTCCCCCACTGTACCAAAAATATGAATGCATATGTATTTATTCGAAAATCAAACATATATATGGGTATGTACGTATTTCAACTGGGTGCGTTATATCAATTTTCCAATTTTAAAACATTTAAAGTTCTGACTTATAAAATATGAATAAACTTTTCTTCTATTACTCATACCTTTTTAAACAAATAGAAATACTTATGTTGGTGGTGGTGTTGTTGTTGTTGCTCTTTCCCATAAATTATTATGGCAAATAAAAATTAATCCACATTTCGATGGCGTTGTTGTTGGTAATTTCTGGTCTTGTTTTTTTTTTTTTTTTTTGCTGACTAGACTTGACTTTGACAGTAGAAAAAGTGGTTTTGAGTGTCAACAGTTGGACTTCTTAACACTTGTTGTTGTTTTCTTCTTCTTCTTGGTTGTTTTTGTTTTTATTGCTGCATGTCATTAGCTCCGAAGCAGCTTTGTAATCTCACATAACAACAGAATTAAATGCAAAATGAAAAGAAGTGAAAAAAAAAAACAAAATTGGACTTTTGTTTATTTTCTTCTTTTTTTTAATTTTGTTAATAATATTTACACTGTGCATTTGGCTTTCTTTGTTCACTGCTGATAAATAATGCGTAAGTATGTGTGAGTGTGTTGGGGGTTTGGAAAATTATTACTTTTTTTTCATGTTAAAAATTTACTTGATTTTAATTCACTTTTTTATATCGCGCCACCAACAAAAACATTTTTCTGTTTTTTTTTTTATGGGGTTGGGACAGCTAGGCTCGCTCTTTTCGTTTCAACACTTGAGTTGGGTGTTTTGCTGCTGTTGTTGTTGTTATTATTTATTCACACTTGAATCTCTTTGGCAGGCAACACCATGAAAACAACAACTACTGCCTTTGCCACTCTCACACATTATGTCAGTCTCCCAATTTTGCCGTTGACATTTATTTGACAAATTGTAATTTGTTTTTCTGTTTTCCATTCCTTTTGATTTATTTCAATATTTAATTCATTTATGTACTTTAATTATATTTCACTGATAAATTCTTTAGCAGAGCAATCACTTGGATCGACACAATACGCGCCCGTGTCTTGCTTTTTTCGCTTGCTGTTCGATCTCACAAATTCCACTCGTCGTTTGGTACTATTTCTTGAACCATCTTCGTAGGAAAAAATCTCTATTTCATCGATCAGCTAACAAAAATCTACGAAGTAAACAAATGAGGCTATTCTCCACTCTGTGCTCTCTCTCCCTCCCTCTCTGTTACTCTTTTAGTAATTCTCTCAAAATGTTAACGGGCACATCATTCAACAGATGTTTCCACCCATTTAACATTGATGGAGAAGTGTTGCCAATTTGGCGTTTTTTCACAGATTTTTGGTTTATTGGTATTCAAAGCAATTTTAAATTTTTTGTAACAAATGGTTGGGAATTGACTTCATATTAAAGAGGATTAATGAAAAACAATACCTGAATAGTTTCAAAGTAATTATCATTCATTTGATTTGAATTTTCCCCACGGGTCCTTTTTTGTCCCTTCGTTACATTTTGTCCACTACTCATTTATACGTCTTTGTTTACTTCGTAGACAAAGACAAATGTAGTTACAAAATGTAACGAGTAGCTTTTTAAACCCCGCTTTGCGACATCTTAGCTTTTTTAATTCGCTAAAAAGACTCGCTCATTGGTTCACGACCAAAAAGCATCAGAAATCCCTACATCCTGTAAAAAAGGTAATTTTAATTGTTTTACGAACAATTATCAATAAAATATCAGTCCACGACTGCATTGAAATAAAAATTCTAATCCTTGTGTTTTATTTATCTCTTTTCTTTCATTTTGCAACGCAAACATTGGTCCAATCGAGCCGGATTATTTTCAACGAAAACTAACCCGTCTCTTTTTCCCTTTTACAAAGGCAATCATCAACATCGACTTCGTCGAGGACAACAACAACCAAACACAAAAGATCAACGATCACCAACATTATTGTATTTATTTATCGAAATAAATTAATATCAGCAACACAGGTATGTACACATCTTTATTTATTTTACAAATAAATAGTGACATACCGTGATTCTCGTATTGTGATAAATAATAATAAAAAAAAAAAACCGTCGGTCGTTTTGCAGCGCGTCCGTCCGTCCATTTGCCGTCGGTAAATTTCATTTTAAAAACAATATTTTGTGTCAAATCGGTCACTGTAAATTTTTGTTTACAACAAAAAAATATACACACACAATCACAGTTTTTTTTTAATTCATTTTAATTTCATTTTATCGCGTTTTCGCGCATTTCTTTTATTTTTTTCCTTTTTTTGATCATTTTGGTGTTTTGTTTTTCATTTATTTCTTCTTCTTTCTTCAAAACACCAAAATCATCACAACAACAATTACCATATGAGAGAGTAATTGTCATCTCTGCTGATTGTTGCCACCTTGTGACATATTTGACACTTACATTTAAGTACCATATGATCGAATTTATTAGGGGTGTTCACACTACCTAATATTATACAACATATCGATCAAAATATTTTAGTGCCATTTTCGGATATTTTTTGTGTTGAATCCTACGGATATCAACAAAAATTAAATTTTATTTGTGTTTTCGACACTGTGCACCCTATATCCGGTCTTATTATTAAAATATTATTATTTTCATATAAATATAATATAACATATTATATATTAAATCAAAAATTATTTAATTTTTTATAAAACATTTTTTGATTAACTTTTTTGTTGTTGTCCGCTACCGATTGAAAACGTGCATCTTACAGTCCGTGCACCCTACAGTCGGTTTTATTGACATTTTTAATATTTTTTCGAATTTTTGATTTTTATTAAAAATTTTGATATTTTTTCGTTGGCAATTGTTATCTTCGATACTTTGTCATAGTTTTCGTGTATTCTACGATACACTGAAACAATTTACAAAATTTGGAATACACTGAAAGAAATTTTGAGTTAATATTTATTTTTTTTTCTTAAATTTTCTACATTTTTGTGGTTTAATCACGTTAAACCTCAATATTTTTGCTGTATCTACGATACTTCATTACGATTAGTCAACGACTAATTATAAATCAGTGTATTTTTAATAAAACACATTAATTTTCTTGAAGCATCACGTGCTTTAAAGTACATTTTATTAATATTTTTGTGAAAAACGTTAACTTTTTGGATTTTCACAAAAAATATTCGACATTACGTGTCAATTTCTAGAAATTAAAGCATTTCGTGCAAGTCTTTCTAGATTTTTATATTTTTGCTAATATTTCTATATCTTTTTTAAAGATTTTCATTATAAGAATTGTTTTTCAAACAATTTTTTGAGAATTCTTGGTGTTTTTGCTACTTTTTCTGCAGTTTTCTTAAACAAAATACAGTTTTCTACGAAAACTTTAGACATTTTTCTAACTTTTTTCTGAATTACGTTCATTTATTTAAAATAAAATGCCACTCACACCTCTAGATTTGTTCATCCGAGCTACTGATGCTTTGGTTAAATTTGATGCCAACTTCAGTTCCCAACGGGACGACGAGCTCGATGTCTATATTTTAGAATTACAGGGAGCTGAGGTCAGAACGTTATGGGAAAAGGTGAAAACCGTTTTCGACAAGTGTCTTAATTATTTTGCTGAAGAAGACAGTTCAGGTGAGGACATCACTGCCGCTGACACAAAATACGATGTCGCATTTAGATGTTATCTAAAGTATTGGCTTCCATAAACAGGAAGTTAGATGAACTTCGGGCTCCGCCTAAGTCATCAATGGCGACATCTTCTCCTCAGGTTAGCGTAGGTAATAGGTCAATCAATCAGCCTACTCCTCGTTCCGAGGATAGAGCTTCGAATTTGGAGGCTTCGCCTCATTCGCCCATATCGTATAACTCATCACTCACATCCTGTGGTGGTGATAATTCTGGTCATAGGTTAAATTTACCACCCTGTGACATAGAAATATTTAATGGCGACTTTCTTTCTTGGCCTACGTTTAGGGACTTATTCTCGGCAGTGTACATTAACAATACTGGCATAAGTGACATTGAACGTTTATGTCATTTAAACAATAAGACCAGTGGCGACGCCCATGACATAGTGGCTAAGTTTTCACTTACCCACAAAAACTTTGGTCTTGCGTGGAAAGCTCTAAAACAAACGTACGACAATCCACGTATATTGGTGAACCACCAACTTAACTTTTATTTGACCTGCCAGTATTAGACAGTGAGACAAGTTTAGGTCTAAAGAAATTACAAAGAGGCATAAATGGGTGCATTTCGGCCATGTTAAATTATGATGTGCCAACTGAAGGCTGGGACCCTATTCTAGTGTTCATATGTCTTCAACGGCTCCCCAAAAATAGTGTCACACTTTGGGAACAAAGTATTAAAGATAAGTCCGCCTTGTCTTCCTGGGAAGATTTGGATAAGTTTCTTACAGAACGTATCCAAACTCTCACCTGCCTTCGTGACATTCGAGGTATTGATAACGTCAAACCTCAAAGTAGTAAAAAAGTTCGTTCACATTTCACGAATGCTGGCACGAACCGATCCCCTACTTTCACACCTCGTAATTCTCCTTCGACATCTAGGCCATCCCGAGCATCCTCCAATAAAACATGCATTTTATGTCCACGACAAATGCATCATATCAGAGCATGCCAAAAATTTCTAAAACTTTCAGTTCCTGAAAGAATTAACACCATTAGGCGACATAATTGTTGTTTAAATTGTCTGTCCCCTAAACATTTAGTCAACCACTGCAGTAGTCCATACAATTGTAGTAAATGTAATAAAAGACATCACACTCTATTACATAGAGATAATTCCACGTCTTCGACTGCAGCAACTTCTGAAGTTAGGAACGTAGCTTCTTCTGATCAACCCTCCACTTCTTCCGGTCTAACTTCCAGCTCTGCTAATAGACAGGTATTTCATACCGCTCAAAGTCGAAATGTTCTATTAGGCACGGCAATGGTGAACATCGTTCACCAGGGTACCACGTACCCTGCCAGAGCATTAATTGACCCTGCTTCAGAAGCTTCTTTTATTACAGATCGCTTACAGCACATACTAGGCATCGCCTCCACTACTACTGTTGCTACCATTTCTGGTATTAATCAGGCAGTTTCGACTACGTCGCGCAAGTTGTGTTCAATTTGTATAAGTTCTCCATTGGATGCTTCGCTTTCAATGGAAACTACTGCACTGATTTTACCTTCCATCTCTGGCAATCTGCCTTCTTTTTCTGTCAATAGCGACTTCGTTTCTCGTTTGCCAAATCTACGTTTGGCTGATCCAAATTTGTTCAACAGTCGCCCTGTGACCTTTTGCTGGGAGCAGATCTTTATTCGAAGATTCTGCTACAGGGAATTCATACTAATATATTTGGCTCCCTAATAGCACAAAATACGGTCTTTGGTTGGATCCTTACTGGTTCTATTCCCCCTCAACATTTATCAGTTTTTTCAGTTAAAGTCAGTCTATCAGACGAAGAAAACCTTAACAAGGTTCTTCTTCGTTTTTGGGAACTGGAGGAAGTTCCTAAACGTCCAATTTTGTCGCCCTCCGACCAGTTTTGTGAGGCAAATTATAAACGTACCACACGTCGGGATTCAGAGGGCAGGTACGTGGTCAGCCTTCCCTTCA